ATGGTACCGCCGTCGCCAGTACGCGAGTCCCTCCCAGAAATTCGTTGCGCCGCTCTTGGGGACAAAAAACGGTGAAAGCTAACGTACGAAACCAGATGGCAGCACAGAATGCGATCGCACGATCCTGCCCGTGAGCAATCTCCCAACTCATCTCTGTTGACAAATGCTGGATAACGCTGGATTAAACCAGGGATGAGTTGGGCGATTGATCACGGGCAGGGTGGCGCGTCGCATCCTGTGCTGCCCTCTGGTTTCGTACGTTAGCTTTCACCGTTTTTTGCCCCCAAGGGCGGCGCAACGAATTTGTGGTAGGGGCTGGCGCATTCGCGATGGCTGTGCCATCTACCAGTTGCCGTTGGCGGCTCACGTATTCGTGCTGGTAATACCATGCGGCAATTGACGGTGGTAGCTTACCATTATGGCAATCTCCCAACTCATCTCTGGTTTATCTCACCCGTTCTGCCATCTAGCGTCGCGGTTGATTACTATTTATTGGGTATGAAGCGTCAACACGGTAACTGAGCTTCTATGGAGAGATCTGTATTCTTTGTCTCTGATTCAAAGCGCAGCATTGCCATAACCGCGCGTGTATTTGTGCGTGCGTAGGATGTGTAGCTGTGCGCAAGCATAAAAATCAGCGTTGATTTTTCTCGGAGTCATCGGGGTTTGAGGTTAAACCTGGGACTGATAGTGCCCTTAGGATAATTAGGAGGATAAACGGGCAACGCTTCGTTGCACCGCTCGCGATGGAGGCCGAGAGTATCGTGCGGAGGCTCACCAAGGCTTTGAGCACAATCCTGTCAGGGAAGGCCGAAGAGGTGTCAGAGGGATGGGACGAGCTCAATGAGATCGACCAGGTCCTTCGGGAGACCATAGTCTCGACGAACCTGGAGGACATCTTCTGGGACACTTTGAATTTCGGGGTCCAGAATGTGCAGGAGGCCCCTCGACTGTTGACCTGGTTCGCAAAATACCTGACGGAGAGGAGTGAACCGTGCAGCAGTTTCCTCACTTTTCTGGAAAGCGTCTACATTAATGACATCGCTATCCTGGCAGACGTCCTGCAGATGATACAGGAACATCCAATCTACTTAAAGCCCAACGCGAACTACATCAACCTAGGTAAACTAATCATCCTTCGATTGGCGGACTTTCCGATGCCCTGCGAGCACACAAAGATATCTCAATTCATGGGGCACACCAGGAAGATACAGTCGTTCCTCGAGATGATCTGCAAACAGACAAGGAACGTGGACGCCGCTATATTTTCGTTTCTGGATACATTGTATGATATCATATCGGACACTAACAAGAAGCGAGAACCAGGGCCAGGATTGGCTGTAGTCCTGGAACTGGTTCACGTCTCGGTGATCCAGCACGCGGTCGATTGGATCCTTTCGGAGCTCCACAACGAGGAGCAACTGGTAGAGTCTCTAAAGGTACTTTGTTCCTGGGTGCCAAAATGGCCCCAAGGAAATTATCTTCGGGTCTGGATAATGGCTCTGATTAGGGGTTTGGAAGCAGAGCACAAGTATTCCGTATTAGCGGAAGCTACCGATGCCACCGCGGTGACTATGTTCAGCTCTCTAATGCTTCCCTGTGTACGTAAGAACGTATCGATAGTGTTTCACATCCTGAGCAGGCAAAGTACTCCTACTCTCTTCCATAAGATCATTAAGAAAGTTCCAAAGGTTCTCCCACACTTGATGAAAGATAACTCGGAGCAGAGTAAACAATGCGTTCAAGATATAGTTGACGTCACCAAGGCGCTCACTCTGCGATTTCCTGGATATCCCATTTACGAGGGTCTACTGAACAGCTTCCCCGTGGTACCGAACATGCACGTGGTCCATGACATATTCCATGGGCCCATATGGGCAGAAGAGACGGAAGAGCTGGAATCGCAAATCAATCGCAGAGACAACTCTGGAAAGGTTGGCCTGGTCAACTTGGGAAACACTTGTTACATGAATAGCATTCTTCAAGCATTAGTGATGACCAAGCAGTTTTGCCACGAGGTCTTGACTTACAAGTACTCCCACAAGTTTAACGACCAATCACTGTTTCGGAAACTGCAAGATCTGTTCGCTCTGCTGCAATACTCGAAGCGCGTCTCCCTGTCTCCGAACGACATCTTGCTGGCTTCTCGCCCTGTCTACTTCATGCCCGGTGAACAACAGGACAGCTCCGAGTTCCTCTGGTTAATATCATAACATTAATTGCATGCACTTCCCACAAACTACAAACTACAAACCCTTAAAAAGTGAGTAATTCCTCGTTTTGTGCAGCCATCTTCTGGACGTGCTGTACGAGCAAGAGAAATCGATTACTGCCCAATGCGGTAACGGGAACGCCGCGACCAGTACCAAGACAAAAGAGGAAGAACAAGCAATGGACGCGAACGAGTCGATGGGCGAGTCCGGAGGCATGATCAAGAGATGGACAACGGAAGAGGACCTCACCGGCGACACGATCCTGCAAAGGAAGACGCAGTCCCTGGCGGACTTCACGCAAGGTTTTTATTTTTCGAGAAAATATACCTATAGATTGAGATTCTTAGTCACACTTAGTACATTTTCATTCACCAGGTGAAGACTTGGGTCAAACTCAGCAACTCAGCGACTCCCACTCGGACTCAACGGACAGTGGAATACAGTCGGTAGGAGGTGAAGAGGTCAGCACGCAAACCTTCCTGGTGCACCGAGTATTCGGGGGAGAGTCGAAAATCACCTACCAGTGCGCCCAATGCGACAACAGTTCCCACAACACGGACAGGTTTCGGGACCTGCAACTCTGCTTCCCGGAGGAGATCCCGGAGACGCAAGAGGTCTCGGTGCAGGACCTGATAAATTATTACCTGACGCCTGAAAAATTAACCGGCGAGAATCAATACCACTGCGACAAGTGCATGAAGCTCTGCGACGCGCAGAGGATCATCAAAGTATTACGAGCGCCCTCCCACCTGATTCTAACACTGAAGCACTTCCATTACGACTCGGAGAGCAGGCTGCGGGCGAAGCTGCGTCACAAGATCATGTACAACGAGACCATACAACTGCCGGTCTCCACGTTGTCGAATAGCGTGACCGAGACCTACCAACTGTACGCGGCGGTGGTGCACGCCGGCTACAGCATGGACTACGGCCACTACTTCACCTATTCCCGGGATTCCAAGCAGAATTGGTACAAGTTCAGCGACAGCTACGTCACCCAGACAACGTTGGAGGACCTGAAGCGCCTGGAGCCCCCGGACACGCCCTACGTCCTCTTCTACGAGAGGACCACCAACTCCGAGGTGGTATACGAAGACGACAGGCCGGAGCTGACCTCGCTCAGCAAACACCTCCAGGAGCTGATAGCGATAGACACGACGGCGTACACCGAGGAGTTGAGGCACCAGGCCGAGAAGAAACGCCGGAAGATCTCGAAGATAATCAGGAAACGGCGCGACAATTCGGACGACGACAACCCACCTCCGAGTAGTTGTCGAGGGCCCGTCGACATCTTGACGAACCACATTCTCTTCTAAGGACACGCTTCATGCCTGCAGAGCGCACCTATCGACTCCTCGACCCGAACCTTTGGTCGAGAACGATGTACCGTATTATAATTTCAAGGTCGTGACGCTTTGTCGAGTCCGGCCGCTGCTCTGCATCGCATGAATCGCGTCCAGTGCCGGAAGCGACTCGCGGTTAAGCGTGCAAAAAGACAAGTTATTCGTACACATGTTACGAACTGTACGCAGGAGTGGTTCCCCTGTCGTCCTGTACGAACCTCTTCTGGAATCGTCCCCTGCGCGTTTCCAAAACGCCGACCGGGTTATCGCGATGTTTCGGACGTATCTCGTGTGTTCAATTCCTTCCTCGGTCCGGGTGAACTTTTAATTTATTTCGGCCAATCGCGGCAGCGTAGCGTAATTTCGTTAAGTTTAGTCTCGGTGCAGGAGAAAGCGCGCTCTTCGTAGGCCATTTATAAAAATGCGTTCTAGGGAAGGTAAACGGCGAAACTCTCACCGATTTCCTCAACCCTTCACGCAGGACCTTCGACGACGACGATCGCGTTATACGTAAACACGTACCGACCGACGCTTTCGTAACGTGTACTCGTGTACTTGCAACAAGTAATCCAACGTCAGTCGCGGTTGACGCGCAAAACTATACACACGTGGACTGTGTCAAACGGTCGGAATTTCTAACGCTTGTATACCGATTTAAAAAAAAAAGAGAGAAATTCACGTCCCAGATATTAGAATCGTTTAATGCCTGGCACGATGAAAAATACAGGGAAAAAAAAAAACGAGGAATAAGGTATACAGCCAGACGCAACCGAGATTTTTCAATGAAAACAGATGTTCCGAACGTTAAAACCCTCTAATGCCTGGCGCGTGATAAAAGTACGAGAATAAAAAAAAGGAAAGAAAGAACAACGAGGAATAGATATTTAACCTGGCGCGATCGAGATTTCAGATCGTATGCGCGTTTACCGAAAATGGGATTCCTTGTTTTTCTTTTTTTTTTTTTTTAACAATTCGTTTCAACTTTGCTACGCGATGAGCTTAAGTTTGTCTCGCGATAAGCGTGGAGATAAGACAGTAGGGAATGACGAGGGATGTCGCGTCTCTGGGCGAGTACTCGTGTCCTTGTAAAGATACATTAGGCGTAACTGTACTGTCCGTGCAATTCGTTCAGACCCTCTGTACTTTCCTTTCTCAAATAAAGTGAAGCCGTAACGCATCGCCAGTACTTGATTGCTTCGAGTCCGCCATTTTCCCTGCAGGGCGGAATTTCCGCTTCTATTCGTGGATAACAAATAATTTGAAAGCTCGGAAATTCTGGAATTTCGACCCAACGTGTTTCGTATAATTCCCAGGGTCGAAAAAAGGATTATTTTCTGGCCGGATGGTACTCAAGTATGGCGAGAAACGCTACCGCTTTTTACGAGTAATTTTGCGCCCCAGTCAAGTGCTAGCCGTAGTCTCGAATAATTCCGTTTGCGATTGCAGTTAGCAAGTAGTACCCCCTCCCGCTAACGTTTTCGATACGTAAATACGAGATCGCACGGTGTAAAAGAGTATCGGAGGCGTAAGGAAGGCTCTCGGTGTTAATTCGGAGCGACTCCGTCTCCTCCGGACGGCGCGAATGAATTTTTCGCCTACCTCCTGCGTAATTAGAATCGACGTCTTTGCAAGAGGCGTTTGCGTAAAGGATTATCATTATTTTCCGGCAATAAGCCCTGCATCTTCAAAAGGCAAGATTAATTATATCGGCGTAGATGTAAAGACCCTTCGTGAGAGAAAAAAAAAGTTTCAGCGCCGAGAGTAAAAAGAGTAAAAAGAGAAAAAAGAGAAAAAAGAGAAAAATGAGAAAAATGAGAAAATTGGTCGACGAGCGAGAAACATGAATGTCGCGTAAGAGCGCACTCGGGATCTACAATTCCTCTCGTAATTGTATATAGCTGTACTTTAAACCGTAGTTAAATTAAAAATTTCACGATACGAAAGAAGGAAATCTGTGATAAATTTGTACCGTCACATTGGAGGCGTTAATTTCATTCCCTAGGCATTCGGATGCCGGTGCTTCGCCGATTAACGTTTTTTTCATTTCCAACCGCGAAGCATACACACGGGGCAGACACACGTAGTAATAATTTTTGTTATGTCTTGTATATTTGATAGAGACTTGCAAGAGACACCAATAAATTCGGAATTTATGATTCTCTCGTAAATTGGAAACAACGGTCAGCTTATCTTTCCGAATTCATCTCCTCGACCCTTTGTCAACTCGGTACGCGCGTTTTGTCCCACGAATGGTGCACGGTAGAATTCTTTATTACCATACACGATGCGGTCATTGTTACCGTACACAGAGGTTGAGAAGTCGAGTACTCGCAGGAGGGTCTTCTCTCCGTAATTAATTCCTAAAATGATACGTCCCCTCTCTCGATTACGTTACATTAAATCGTGACTAAGGTCTTTGTCCACCTGACCGTTTCAACGAGTCGTTAACGCGCACGGGCACGACGGTAGAAAAAGTTGGTCCGAAAGGAACAACGCGTCTCAGTCTCAACAATGGTTGCGGCCATCCTTAACATTCTCCATTTAATGGACGATGAGCTAAGTGTACACTACGCAGGGAACGTATTTCGAGAGCGTTGACGTTTTCCACGCCGATAAAAGTGACCACACTGAATTCACACATCCAATTATCGGTGATTTCGATGCCACGATAAATTGCAGAAAAGTCGCATTGTCTCTGTGATATCGCATTCGACATCTAAGTCAAGTTAAAGGAAATTATCCCGTTAACGTTACGTTTAATTCGAGCGAAAATGCCCTGTAACGTAATCTTTCCACCGTTTTTTTCCTACGTGAAACTTGAGTTACGCGGCGTGGAAAAATGTATGTAAATCTCGATAGATTTTTATCAGCGTAGGTGTACCACTTATAGTCGGCTCTCATCTCCGGATCATTAGCCCGTCAATGTATGTACACGTCGGACCATGCGGATAATCTATCTCGCTCCTCCCTCAATCGGATAAATATAGAGTTCAAGGTCCGCTCTGCCTGATAGAAAAAGTGGTTCTCCAAAATGGCGGTCGTAGGATTGGAGTCGGTCCCGGACTCCGATCGGCCGGCGATAACTACGACATCGATCACATTGATTAACGCTTAACTTCCGCTCGTTAGGACCCTGATACGAGGAAAACAAGTTGACTAGAGGCCCGGCGAGCACCCCAGGGCTCAACTCTGCGGATCGCCGCCCTTTGTCCCCGCCGGTGACGACTGATGGATCGTTGGCGAGGACAATAATGGCGCGGTATCAACGGCACCAGGGGCCAATTGGATCTCCGACTTGCCCAGCTCGGTCTCCGGGGTCCACTTGGTGGTTATGTCGATACCTCCAGTGTCTGGAAATCAAAATGAATGTCAAAAATCGAGCACCAGTCGCGCGTCGCCTCGGTCCGCAAAGGAGCCGTCCCACTGGCGAGTGCGTCGGGTGTCACCGTGGACGCACTGCGGCTGAACGAGAGAAAAAAAATCAATCAATCAATCAATCAATCAATCAGAATTGCGTTTAGTTTCGCGCGTCACTTCCGCCGCAGTTCCGATTGGCTTTTTATGAACGACACCCCGCACTCGGTGGGACAACCTCGTAACAATGGGCGAGCGATTAACGGTTGATACCCTGAGAAAAAAACTGTATCGAACCGAAGTAATATTATGTTAATTCAAGGAATAATCCTAGTCCAGTCCAATAAACCAAAGATAGATTGTTACAACTGCAGAGGAACGTTACGCCCGATTTATTCGAGCTTATTTAAGTCAAACGATTATCCTTTGAATGAAGAAAATGTTTCTTTGGTACTATTCTATGATATATATTCGTGGAATCGGTGGAATCTCTTTTCTCAGGGTACGAGCTCGCGATAAAGGTCGCCACACCGACCCGACTTCTCGGTTTGACTTATCGAGGTCGTGTCGGGGAACTGCACGTGTTTCCTCGCCGATTTCCCGGCGTTTGGACTTTTTTCCGACATGGCGGCCGGCGCCGTCGTCGGACTTTGCGTGGGCGTCGCCGTGGCCGTCTCTCGAGTCTCGTTGTTCGTCGCCGCCCTTCGGGAACTCAGACACGACGTCGCCGTGGTGGTCGGTGGTACGGTATAGCGCACTGCTGGGACCTGCCAACAGATAATACAAATATAAAAATGGATTGGCAACGCCATCTTTGAAGTGAGGAACCGACGCCGAAGTAAACATTCTAACCATGTCGAGGAAGCTGTTCAAAATGCCCAGTAAATTGACAATCGTCTCTTTAGGCAGAGGCGACGGAACGAAGTCGCGTAGATCCTCGGAATCCTGGATGATTCTTATGATATTAATTTACTTTACGGTGCTCGGAGGTCCTTTAGAGCACCCCGGTGCACGATGCAGGAGAGTAAGTAGCGGCAATAGAGATACGTCCTAAGGAGTCTCTCCGCAAGCGGAGCAAAAGTTGGCCAGAGTCGTTCGGAGCTTTTTCTCCTCAACTAATGGCGGCAATTAGGAATTCCGCTTGCGGGGCTGAGAAAAGTGGACGCGATCGAATTAAGCAGTCCCAAGTTGCACCGGCCTTGCGGTTAGAATTAAAAGGACGACGAAATTGCCACCGGAGGACATAGGGGAAGCAACGGGCGGGGAGCTCGCGAGATAATTGTCGTCATTTTTGGATATTGGTTCCATTCGAGTCGCCTTGTTCCTCGTTCCTGGCCGCGTCTTGGTAAATTCGGCCTTCGATAATTCGGAACGGGAGCAACGTTGTTGGATGTTTAATCGGGCCGGAAATACACCCTTCAAGGAAGAGCGCTCGGCGTCGCGAATAATGCATCCTACCGCGACCCCCGGGAAAGTTATACCGCTGAAAACAACCACGGAAAGGTACAAATACAGAGAGAGCCGCCCCAGAAACCCATTATCTCGACGTCTCTCGAATCGGTTCGTAGAAAGAGGCGATGCGACATTTCTAGAAGATTGCCGCCGCGTCGGGATCCCGCGGGATCGATTAACGGGATAAATTTCTATCGAGGGATCTTATTAGAATTTGTAGGGCACGTTTCCGAGTCGGTTTCCCCAGAGGACAGACATACCGAAAGGGCGGGGATCCGCGGAGCCGACTTTAAGCTTATTCACATTCGTGGGGCACGTCCAGTTGACAAGGCAGACTGCACTCTCCCTCTCTCTCTCGAGGATCCTGCGTCTCCTTCCGCTTCCGGAATTTATAGGCTGATTTATGGAGTCGAGCAGAAGCGGGCCTTAATTCGGCACTCCCTCTCCGTCTCTCCTTCGCGAAAGTGTCAGCCACTAATCTCGCCCCTACGTGGCTCTCCCTAAACAATTTCCAGCAAAATCCCTGAAAAAGATCCCGGCAACTCACCCTGTACTCGCAGTCGTCGGTTGCGGTGCCGCGGCCCATGAGGTATTCCTGGCACTGAGATATCACGCAGAGCAGCGAATATATCTGGACGAAAGGGGTAACAAGTTTAATCTCCTTGGTTTTCCGGCTTCGGCGTTGTAATAACATTCAGAGACTAGGAGGAGGTGCACTCACGTGCAGGCAGACCAAGAAGAAATTCAACGTGAAGACCATCGCCTTGATCGGGGTCAGCCTCTCCTGGAAAAGAAAATGGGAGAAACTTGCACTAATTGTAGGTACACTTTTGTACCCTGGTAGCGCGACGTCACGTGCGCGCTTATCAGGGACACCTGCAATTGTCGATTACAAGTAACTCGAGCATTTCTCCTCTGGACGCGGAATTACTTTCCAGGAAAGCGAGGTTCGCCGGGGGGAGGGGTGTCCCTCTCAAAAAGTGAGTTCATCTCGCCTGGAGCACGTGTCGGCGTTCCCACGGGATGGAAACGCGAGTCTTCCGGGAAAATGGCAAAGGGGTTGCGAGAACGTACGTCGCGATCCCTCCTATCGGGACATTTGGGGGTTGAATAAGAACTCGTAAAAATTTCCCAAATTTAAATGAAAAGAAGAGGCCAGGTCAAGGGTCGAAGAGGAGTATATTCTGCGTTTCGAAAAGCTGGATTTTCTCAACAGCCTACGTGAAAGCGCGTCCAAGGGAGAGGGGTAATTTTCGCGTAGAAAAGCGCTCCTCCTTTTTCCATTAGTGGCTTAACCGTTACCGCGAGGAAACTTCGTTTTCCTGTTCCTGTTTTACGGCATGTGTCCCCAGGGAATCGCGCCAGGGAACGAGGGACCGGGAAAAGGGGGAGATGGAACGGAGGAGGGCAAAGACTTTGCGGCGAGGACATTAATGAAGATTGCACCTGCGGTCGAGCTCATTGTCGAGCACGCTATTTTCCGCACCGACGTTTTCCCGATATGCCGAGGAGAGGGTAGCCTAAGTGTACCTATCGATTAAAGGATTTCGTTCGACAAGGACCTTAAGGAAATCCCCCCTCCCCTTTCGACACTTTCTCGTGCCCGTAATAATCGGAGCCCTCGAGATCCCGATCTCGCCGACGCGGGAAAAATTGCCGCTAATTTATCCGCTCGTACTTCAGCCAAGACAGGCATCGAAAACCCGGGATAAGATCGACGGGAAACGCGGAGCGAGCTCGGCGATTTTAATAATCCTCGAGTGATGTGGATGTACGTTCTACAAACAGACGTCGCACGGAGATCGCATATCACCGCGTGACGTCCCGCGAAATCTGCTTTCTCCCTTACGAGAGAAAGAGGAAGGAAAGGAGAGAGAACAGGAGCGGATTTCCGTTATCGGTCATGAGGCTTCCCTTCGATCTTTCCTATCTGAAAATTCTGCAATTTTCAACGGGCAATTTCTGCGGATTTTAGAGGGTGGTACGAAACGAAGGGGGCGAACATGAAACTCTAGATTTAATTTGTTCCCTTCTGAAAAATGGGCGAAATTGTCGACAAAGCTACAATTGAAACGAAAAAAGCTCGGCAAAACGATTTTCGACTCTCTTGAATAATTCCCGCCGTTTCATCGACACGGTGAGCCTGCAAATTGCCGCGACGATCAATCGAACATCCGCTTGAATGTGCACGCTAACCTCGCGGTAATTTGCAGAACAAACGAGCCGGTTCGAATCGACTTAATTAAGATAATCACCGTGATACCGCATCGGCAATAAACTTGTAACTCCGCCAGCCAGGATTTAGAGAGCCAGAAATCGATGAGCCTCCAGATATCCCGATCCTGGCCGAGCCTCGGATGGCGCAGCATCCTGTTCGGTTCAGATTGGCATTGTTATTTGAATTTCTTTATTTTTCATATTTTCTTTTTTCCAGCGATTTTACAGGATTCTCTGCCGATCCACCGCGTAGACAAGCTCGAAGGTGCTTCGTCTGAGGAAGAATTTTCTTCGTAGGATTTATTTCGGCGAGAGAAAGATGAGAGAAAGTCGACTTCCTCGAAGGTGGTTTCATCTCGGCCACATAGAATTGAACTCCTCATCGAGTTCCTCGCCGAGCAGAAAAGTGGTAGTATCCGCGTTTCCAATATATGCCGATCTGCTCCTTCTGGCCATTTCCTCAAAGACCGCTCCCCTCGGTCTTTCCCTCCGGAGAATTTTCATAATCGATCGCAATATCCGCGCCGTTGCATCCGGCGACATCCCGGGGAAAATCCGACATCTTCGGATCCGTCCCACCTCGGTTAGCACTCTAAGCCGGCATATTCGTGTCCGCAGGCAAAAAAAAGAAGATAAAGGAACGAGGAGGGCTCCTACTTGCGGGGGAAATGGCAAAAATTCATAGAGCCAGGATTTTTAAAATTTAGATACCGCACGGAGTGGCCTCGGGAACGGTCGTCAGCCGTTCGGAGTTCGGACGCGACAGGTGGAAAATGAACGTAACGCGGAATAAGCTCTTTCCATGGTAAATAAGAGAACCGGTCTTACCGCCTTAAAGGTGAGCACTTGCCTGCCTCCTGCATTGTTAATTAACAGGTGAAGGTGGAAGCGGAACGTGAAATGGATGCGAAAAAAGGGTATTTTTTTCTGCTTCTACTTCCTTCTTTGCTGTTCTCTTTCAACGAGCAGAGCAAAGGTAGAGGTCTTACCTCGGTGAAGAAGAGCAGGTACATGGTGTGGGCTAAGTCGACGGCGATGAAAGCCACCATTGCGACGATCCATGGCACGAGGAATATCAGCTGATCCTGGAACAAGGATTCCTCGAATTAATCGTCAGTTTGCCGAGGTTACAGAAACGATGCAAACAGGGGGCTCCTTTAAATCCAGCCGAGCTCGAAGTCCGCGGCTTTATTCTCCGATTGTCGGAGGCACAATGGCTGCAAAGGTGCAAGCGAATCCAAGGATTGATTAAGGCTGCACCCTGACATTAAATTAGAGGATGGATGCCGGAGATCCTGGAGGTATTGTCGGGTTACATCCGGGGCAACGAACAGATTGCCAATTTCTTCGTTATCCTGAACAGAGGATGCGACTATTCCACCTCGTCGATTTGTCCGGCATCATGGAAGGATCTCCATGGAAGAGGATGGGACTCTACATTGGTTATTTTTCCCGGCAAGGATGCGACTTTGGCGCGAGGGCTCTACTTTGCCGAAAGGCTCGCAGAACACGGGGTCGGGCTAATTCCACCGCGAGCGTTGACACTCGAGCTGATGGGCAAGTTTCTGACGAGATTGGCAGTTCCAGGTCGCACAGGTTCGTCCGAGTTGGAATCGATACACAGGTGTGTGTCGCGTACACGTACGTACGTCTCTCTCTGGAGAGATACGCGTCGAGGGGGGGCGAGAAAGAGAGATATATCCAAATTGGAAAAGTTGGCAGGCTCTTTCTCGGCCGGAGAGAATTAAATTGGGAAAATTTCCGCGCCTCGTCGACAGGGAATCTGTCGCAAAGGGCTAGGGTAATTGTTGAGTCTTATATATATATAGATCGATGCCGAAGAGAGGGGGAGAGAGAGAGATGGGTTTCTCCCGAACGCGCTTTTCCTTCTCCTCTTCGAAGAGGGGAGGATGGAAACTCGTATTCAAGTTTAATTAGACGTATCGGGGGGGGGTTATCTCGTCGCCGTCGATATCGACGGACGAGATGACGGACGGGTCCAGGCCGCGGCAGAATCGCGCCTCCCTTTAGGGCGAAGGGGAAGAAGGCGCGCAACGAATCGGCCGCCATTCGTTAGAGGGGACTTCTTCCCCCGGAGAGACACAGTATTGTCGATGCGGGAATGATTAATGGCGGGGCAAATGGCCGGGAAATGGGAGCGTCCACTCGGGTGTCGATGCCCGTTGACATCCTTGATAGGATCAGGATTCCACTTCCCAACCGGGAGACGCATCGGTCCTTCTCTTATCGATCCGCGACTCCATTCCGCGCGTTCGATACCTTACCTTTCACCTAATAAATTCCCAGCTTTCTCCCGCCCTGCGGAAATATCCCTCGTTACGGAATGCCTCCCGGTTCTTGATTCCGCATTTTGTGTAATATAATAAATGATACGCGGCTTATATCGAGTATGTAATAAACGACACGTCGAGATATTCGTTAAATAGATTCCCGGTTTTCTCCCCAGAAATACCCTTCCTTACGGAAATATCCTCTGCTTCTTGATTCCGCATTTTCTGTGATATAATAAATGATGCTCGTCTTGTACCGAGGGTGTAACAAACGACAAATCGAATTCCCCATAATAGATTTCTAATTTCTCCCCAGCTTCTCGAAATATCCCTCGGTACAGAAATATCCTTCGATCCTTTGATTTTTGTTATATATTAAACGAAGCCGTATGTTCTCGCGCCTTTCATAAAATAAAATCCTGATTTTCATTTCAACCATATAATAAATGGTACTCAATGTATAGCGATGATCGCCTTTTTCTTGAAACGCGTCCGAGTTCTTTCCTACCCTCGTTAAATAAAAATCGTTAAAGAAATACCCTTCGATCTTTGATTCGCGTTTCTATGCGGGGATCGAGCTTCGTTGCGAAAATAAACGTATTTTCGGCAAGCTGAAAACGATATTCCGAGGTTACCGATGCGCGCCTTCCCCGTGTTCCACGTAAACGAGAGGAACGAAAGCCGATAGTGTGCTGCCAGCGTTTGCGAGTCGTTTGATTGACGCCGCGGAAAACCGCCAATCCAGGCCTTCCGGATTACGGAATCCGCAAACACGAAGAGTGGTCCGACAATTCCGAGGGAGCCTTTCAGGGATTTCGAAGCTGCCGAGGTCGAAACTTTGGAAAACCAGAAGGATGCCCAGATATGCGACGGGGCCATTAATCATTGACAGCTGTTCGGCCGAGGCGGCGACTGGGACATTAATACAGGATATTCCGCCTCAAGGGTGTACGTTACAAGAAAAATGACCCACAAGGACCCGGTCTACAACTTTAATGAAAACAATTTTCTCGTATCGTTAACCATTAACGTCGAATTCCCCGTTCCTTGGGCGCGGGTGGACGCGGTCCTTTAGCCAGGAGTCGGCGTTTCCTTAATTAATAATTAATTCCCGGCGTCCTCCACCCTCGGAAATAATATCATTTACTTGAGTTCGTATCGACCCTAGGACACAGCGCTCTCGGTTTATTTCCTCCCCCGTATCGTCCTGGATATTAGGGCGAGGGATAAAGGGGTGAGGGCGAAGCCCGGAGGTCCTCGCCCGTCAGGATCTCCAACGCGTAAGGACCTCCCTTCCAAATTGCGTCTAAGGACACGTAGTTCCAGGAGACCGCCCCTCGGCAAATCTGTTTTGTCCTCGAAAGTGATAAGGGAATCCCGTAAATCATGGAGTATTCTTTGTCCCGATTAAATTACTCCCGCTCTCGGACACGCTAAAACGGCGAATGACTCGCCTAATTGCGCCTCTACGTACACAGAAGCAAGCGGAAAGTAAGTCGGGGGCCCATCGTTTAACCGCCTGAATTATTCATAAGTACTTACTGTACCTTGAGCAGGCCATAGAGGAGTAGCAGCGAGCTGAGCACTCCGCAGCAGGAACACGTCAGCACCGCGATGTTGAACCTTATGGTGGCTGCAAAAGAAAGGGGATTAGCGATTAACTCCCCCTTATCCAGATCGCAATTCTTCCAACGGCAACCATTAGGGTTATTCATTCGGCAGGTCGAGATAAGGTGCCACCGTAAACAGAGAGAATGAGAGTACAGGCTGAGCGATCGATCAGCTGATTGGATGCCCCTGCAAATATGGGGAGCTCACCCCATGAGCTAGTTTGTACTCATCTATCCGGGAAAGAAACTGAATTCTTCGATGCGAATTCATAGCTTATGATGTCTTATTCCCCGAGGTCCTCAATAAATGATGAGACCTTTATTTTCAGTCCAAGTGCATGAATATGTACGTTCTTAGCTGCCCCGTGTACCGAGTGGTATAGTGTCCCCGCCTAGGATAATTATTTGATTCCCCTGCAAATACAGGAATATTCTCTCCCATTGTCGGTAGTTTGAGGTCCTTCTAGCCGGGAAGAAGGAAAGCAGACCCCATGACGTGGATTCGAGTGCTATTCCGACCCGATGTGTTCGTAATATCAGGTCGTTCGATATGAAAGGACCGATTTAAACCGTTGAAAAAAAAAAAAAAAAATTGATATTTCACATCCAAGCGGCTCAATAAATTATAAGAAAAATTCGCAATGTTATATCAAACAGCTTAATCAATTATCGTAGGCACGTAGATATTTATGGCCTTACTCGGTGATATGGTATCCGGCTCCAGGACGCTGGGCGACTCCGGTAAGGAACGATTTCCGATTAGGTACTGTTGCTCGTCATAGAGAAGAGTTCCCGTCATGACAGCGACGAGGGCGAAGTAGAACTGAAAATTAAAGAAATAATTATCGATAATCCGTCCCCATCGCGCAGTATGTTAATTAATTCAGAGTTTCGCAATCGCCCTACACGCCGAGTTAAATAATTAATTCCCAGTCGTTTCGTTTATTTAAACGTCGGCTGGGGGGCGAATAATCGGTGGAAAAGCCGCCATCACTCGCAGGAAAGGCCGCTCTCGGGCAAACAATGCATTCGCCGGTTAAAGCGACTTACAAGCGTCGGCTTCGTAATCCGACGTGTCTTTCGCGCCATGACGGATATTCATTAATTCCGTATTCACAGGGCAGCTCGGTTTCCAAAGTCGTAACGCGCGCGAGAATGCGAGTGCGTCCCGCCACAACGAGGTTATCGGTCGAAATTGGACGCGGTTTCCATGGATATTACGTGGAGAAGCCTGATGAATTTCCCGGGGAAATATTAATGCGTATCTGCCGCGGTTCCATTTTCCGAGAGGTGGATGTAGAGGTTCTTCCTGGTAACAGTCCAATAACGACGGGGAGGTCACGAAAACTCCGCGGGGGTCCACGGAGAAAGGATCTCGAAGGGCAAGAAATTCACCCGAAGAGAGAGGGGAAACTTGGGTGGAAATTCGACACCGGGTCGAGAGTCATCGTTTCGAATCGCGGTACGTGTCCGATTCGGTGAACCAGCTCGTGCTCGGGCGAACGCGATGATTGACTTTCGACGGTTTTTCCGGCCGCCATCTTGGCCACTTCTAAATTTCAGATAGAAAGCTCTCGGCGATTCTCTCGAGCGTGCTCGAGGAGAAGGCGTGGGCGTCGTGCGTATAGTGATCGATCGCGAAAGATGCGAGCTCGCGGACGCGTCCTTTCGGCCGAAGTGATTGATTCCGGCCGGGAAATTGCCTCCTCGTGCCGCCATCTCTCTTGCTCGCGTCGCTCCTGGAGGTATAAAAAGCAGATGGGCGTTTGTGAATTGTGACGGTGGGACAGAGGTGGCCGCCATTGTTATCATCGCCCCGAGCCTTACGTCCCGTTTTCACGCATCCTCTTGTCTCCTTCCCGCGGACGTAATTCTCCCCCTTTCCGCCTCCCTCCCGCGAATAAAACGGACGGAATCTCGCCTTGTCCGCGTAAGCGCGTACACGGTGGTCTTGACATATGCCTCGTATCATACGTACACGTCTAATGGTGCAACCATACAGGGGATAACGGACTCGTCGGCCCCATAGGCTCGGACGCGGAATCGCCGGCGTGGGGTCGACCTAGGCGAGATTTAATCAAGGTCGGCGGCGTCCCTTTGACACGGAATGAATGGTCGATTATTATTTGATTTCGGGTTAACGACTCGGATTAAAGGGCCTCGTCGAGCCTCTTTGCAAGGACCCCGATCCTTTTCAAGGGCGAGGCGCAGGATACGGGAAGCTGCGTCACCGCCTTCGCGATAACGCGGATCTCGGGAAACGAAGTTAAATTTATAACGGCGAGTAACGGCCGACGTGTCGCTAGGCGAAAGCTCGCTATTTTTGCCTCCGCCGGAGGGAACGTCCTTTTGAGGTTATCGATAAAGTGCGAGTCGGTCGATTCAGCACCGCTCGGTTCATAATTAAAGCGACGAGCGATAACGATTAAATCATCCCTCCGGACGTTCGCCAGCTGGGAGTATTATGAAATTTCGAGGGAACCCCTGTCACGTTCTCTTCCCTAATGGCGAGGGACGTTGTGAAAGAAAAATGTTAAAACCATCGGAGGCAATTTTGACGAAGAGCGCCGAGTAAGCTCGCCATAGTCCCTTTGATTTCGCTTCTTTCCGAGGAAAAAGAGCTCCTCTGGCGTAGTTAGGGCGATGCTACGTAAAGAGAACAACTCCCGGAATATGCGTGTTCAACGGACCGAAACTGCGCCGATGTTGGCACGTCGTTAGCGCCGTTTAAAGGAAACAATTACGAGCGCGTTTACACGGACCTCAAAGTCCCTTATATCACCCTAAGATTCGTGTGACATAAACGTCAGTCTTAATACGCGTTCCGATACCAGGGTGGAGCAAAACGATCCAGCAAATCTAGTCGGATAAATCCAAGATCGCTACGTCCTAGATGGCATTTGTGACGCCCAACAAATTTTAATAAATATGTACTTAACAATGAATAATTCAATGTGACACGTCCTTTACGGAGCCAATCGCTCATAAAGTTGAATTCTTTCCGAAGAGTTTATCGTCCTATTGCACAAGCTTTGTCGCCCGTTCGTGCCTTCGACGTTCACGTAACACGAATTCCAGAGATAGGGTACAGGGCTGAGTCGCTCTAGGTTCTACGTGTATTTTTTATGACGCATACAGACAGTCGAAACGTACATTCGAGGTACGTCGAGGTGTAAATATTGGGCCAATCTATCGGCTGATTACTCATAGAACGGCGCCTTCTTCAGGGGTAAGACGAGCCGCCCTTAGCTTCGGCCGACGGGGGCGTTTCGTAAAACGCGTAAATTTCCCGAGGGGTAAGGGATTCGTCATCAATTTACAACAGGGCGCGTCTTCTCCCCCTTGTTTATTTGTCCCCGTTTCGAGGTACCTATCCAGCGAAAGAGGGATACGGAAAGAGAGAGAGACGGAGACGAGGAGTGACGTCAGCAAGGAGAGCGGACGCTGCGACCCTTATCAAGGAAATTACTGCACGGGTCTTGCTCCCCCTCTCTTACCCTCGATACGGATACCCGGAAGCGAAGGAACTCATTAAAATTCCATCCCGATTTTTCCGCCACAATGTGGCGGATCTTCGATCCCTGCGAGGGCAACTCTGACCAATGTAAAAATTGGGGATATCTTATTCGGAGTTAGGTCCTTCCGGGGTGGGTCGTCATAGGGCTCGTCCTAGAAAGCCCTAGAACGTCCTAAAGCGCCCTAAAGCGCCCTAAAGCGCCCTAAAGCGCCCTAAAAACGCCATAAACGACACGAAACGCGGATTTTATCCCGTCTCGCCGGACGTCCCAGGGGAAGAGATCCAGGATCCCGAATGAATCTCGATGATCCCGGCCCGTTTCCGGAGGCATCGTTAAAGCCGGAAACCGAAGCGGGAAGTTTAGCTCCACGGGGACTTCGGCCTAGGCGTGTCACGCCGTTTAGAAGAGAGCTGGGAGCCTTCGGGTTTCATCGATCGGTGCTGTTACCGCTCGTTAAAGCCAATACGGTGGTACCGACAGAATTGAAAGGCTTTCGCATCCCAATACGTCGATCCTCCGTGCTTTTACGGTCCCGCGTCGAGGGCCTCCTACCAGGGCTCTATCTCCGAGTGCAGTTTCCGGGGGATGATCCTTCGCAATCCAAAATTCATGCTCTCCATTTGGAAGAAAACGAGCGTTACCCGGGATCTACGGTATCGAGTGGAGCTTGCACACGCGTGCTCAATTTTAGTTTTATTTATTCATAAATAAAAAAATAGGTCTATACGCGGTGCCGGGCGATCGCAAGGTACAGCGGCACGGCGCGGCTCCTCTTATCGCATTACCACTCGTTAGGGTTTATATATTACGGTGCCGGCAGAATCAAACGAAACACAACATTGTACAGCGAAGAAGGCGGTTGCCACGACCCATAAATACGTAGATACTCGCCCAACGTGTAATTAATTCCTGGTAATTAAATGGAATTTCGGTCCGACGGTGGACAAAGGAGTCTTTTTGAGTAGAATTGAACGAAACCCTGTCATTCGATCCAACCGCGATCGATCAGTGGACCGTTAACCCGAGTTACCAACGCTTTCGATTACGATTAGATTAACCAGGACTTTATTCCTGAATGCTATAAACGTGGCTCGATAAATCCCGGGGGATATTTTCATTCGCAGTGTCAATTAAACCCGTGCTTTCCGGCCGGCGATTCCCCGACGGTCGATCGTCCGGGAAGATCGCGACGTTGATCGATTATCCGAGGTCAGGAATTGCGTGCGAGCTCGGCGGTGTCCGAAATCCCCAGAAATTTATATACCGCATCTAGAGCTTGGGTGATAACGAGATAAATCAGCGGCATGCCTCGTTAATAAAAATCTGACATCTGGTGAGGCATCGCCTCGGTCATATCGCGCACACGTCTTCATTAAACATTCCACTCCCATTTCTGAACGTCCTCGAGAAAAAACATTAACGTCCTAAAACTTGGCAATAATTCCCAAGCGGAGTTTCATTAAGCGTCGCTTTGAAAATCGATACACTCGGGATTATTAAAAGCGCGGTTATCATGGAAGATGAGATCCCTCCCTGGGATGAATTTTCGAATGGAGACATATCCAGGCAGGGAGAAATATTCGTTCCGCGAGAGGTGAGCCAGCGACGTAGAATCGAAGGCTTTCAAATTATCTCGGCGGAAGCCGGAAGCCAATCCCCATTCGACTTTCATCAACAAATCGATTCCCACCGAGTTTCCACCTTTGCGAGGCCTCGGCAGGGGGGAGAGAGAGGGAGTAAAATAAAATACGAAAAAACTCGGCAAACCCGTCAAATTCCGCGGGGGCAGTTTCATAAGGAAGCCACTCACGCGAGACCGTTTTTACATCCGGGGCAGACCTTTTGTAAACTTGGTTTCATTGAAGTCGGGTTTATTACCCGCCATGAAGCTCGTGCCCGTTAAAGGACAGGCGGTATAAGTGAGGGATATCAAAGTTTCCCCGTAAACGCGGCGAGAGCTCTACCAGAAATTAACTACGTGAATTTAGTATGTAGTTATACCTTTATTACACGGCCATTAAGTGAATAATTCCCTGTAAACCAAGAACGGAGAGGACTCTTTCTCTCCGGGAAAAAAATGTGCCCACCGAGCCTCGTAAAGGCGGAGGTAAAGTTTTTCGTCCCCCGGTGAACGTGGTTCCGACAAGTTTCGACGGTTCCCTTGAGCAGGTCGCGGAAAAACCTGGGCCGTTTCTTTGCTTTTATCTTCACTTTTAGCGAAAATTTCCGAGTCCGCAACCGGTGGTTGCCCGCTCGGGCTGAACGCCTCTTAAGTTCGCATGTTACCACCTAGTCAATTTTTCTTACCACTTATCCGGAATGGATTTACGATTAGATACAGTTAGACTCAGAGTACAAACTCACCCCGGTGAAGATGGCGCTTGCGAAGCTACCCCGTCGTACCGATCGCCAGCAGCAGCAGGACTGCATGATAGCCATGCCTGGGGAGCATGGGCCACCTCGTGGATGGGAATCTCTGCCACATCTGCGATTCCTCCAAACACCCAGTCACGTGACCGCGGGCACACGGAGGAGCGAGTCGGAAAACTCGGGAATTTTTGCGGGAAACGGTGCAGGAATTAACCCGGGGAAAAGTAGGAGAAAGTTTCAGGAATTGAGCTTACGATCACTCGCGAGGAGGTTAGGGCACGATCCGGATCGAGCGGAAAGTGGGGGGAGAAAACTCTCCGGAACGTTCCCGCGCGAACTGCCGAGCGCCGACTGCCGGCCGAAGCGGTTCGGCCAACCGAGAAGACCGGCACGACGCGCGCACGCGCGACGATCCCCTCTCCTACACCCCGCGACCAGGAAACTTATTTTCTTTTCCCTTTTTTCGTCTTCGGGCAAGCCGAGAAGATCTCGTATCCATTGTGCAGGTGCGTGCTTGCATGTAAACCCTTGATTGCTCCGGGGAACGGAAGCTGGAAACTTCGTGGCTGCTTAGAGCAAGTTGTCGCCGAGTGCTCCGAAGAGCTTAAATTCTCTGGCAATGCTTTAGCCGCTTTGGCCGCCAGTCTTGTTCGCTCTCTCTTGGGAGGAATATTAAAGAAAAAAACGGCAAATACCGTATTTTTGTGCTCTGGTGTTCCAGTTGAAAGGTAGAACTCGTGGTCGTCTCCCCCTTGCCGAGTTCCGGCACGTGAGATATCGTTTGTTCCCTCTTGTTTACGGGAAGTTCCGCGATGAAACTCGATCAAACGTCTCCAATCTCCGCCGCCCCTGGATAGCTCGGTTGACCTTTACCTTCTTTTCGACCTGGAGCAATAAAGAAGGAAACTTGGAGAAATGTGGAAAAAATGTGCAGCTTCCCTCGATTACCTCCTATTCTAAGGCGATTGCGCGATTCTTGCGCCAAAGGGAGGTTCGCGACTCGGGAATAGGAATTCCTCTCCCCCTCGGGCTTTTGTTCCCTTCGCCGGACGCCGGAAATAGTCGGAGCGCCTCCTCCTTTCACGAAACTACGAGGGGAGGATTGCGAGTACGGTTGGATTTTTTCTTCCACCTCGGGTCTAGATCCCGAGCCGCGAAATGCCGCGTTCGCAAGAGGGGAGGTCGAGGATTTGCCCCACTTTCGTCACCCCCGGAATGTTTTCCTCCTCCGCAGCGAAAAGGGATTTTTCCTTTCGCAAGCCTTGATCCTAAAAATGAGATTTAAAAAATCGCGAATTTTGGTGCACCGGATTAATCGAAATTCGGCCTTCTCTCTGGAAAATCCAGAAATCTTGACAGTGAATTTTCATAAATCAGGCTTTTTTTCTCATATGAATTTGAGATCAGGTTTTCACGTTGGCAGAATACGCTTTTTCGTTTCTTTCGCTGAATTCGATGCGATAGAGGATCGTTTTTAAGGCTTTGAGGGTTCTGAGGACCTCGAAGGCATTTCTAGCGCTTTCTTTTTCTCATCTCCAGAGAGGGCTCGATAAGTCTAAGGTTCCGGCTCCCCGAATTCCCCGGATTTGGCGAACCTGGAAATCTGCCCCGAGTCTAACCGAGGCCTCGCTCCAAGCTCATCAGAGGCTCCGAAATTGACTTATACCAGCAACCGCGCTTTAGCGGTCCTCCCTACCTCGGGGCGGAGCTTTAATAAGTTCCCGAATGCCTGCGAGGACCTCGTCGCCGCCCATCTCTTCCCTGAAGACGCGTACGAGTCGACCCAGAATTTTATCCTCCACTTTGAATACGCTTCCGCGGTAAATTAAATCGCCGCATAAAATGTGTAATTCCCTAAAAACTCTGCACATCGAAATTGTGTGAAATTCAACAAGGTAGGGACTGTAGCGAAGGACAGATTTCGACTCCCTCGTTTAATCGTACCCGCGTAACGGGTGGATTTTGGTTTTCTCTTTAAGCATCGGGGGGTAAATGCCCCTGTACTCGTGGGGCAGTCACAGGTGGTTGGGGGTCGATTCGTGCCGACAAGCAGGTGCTCCGATTTGAGCCGACTCCATCTCCGAGGGTGAGCTTTGGCAGGTTTTGCGGTCGAGGTGGTCGCTTTCCCTGCATAGGTCGTATCGATAACCGCAGCCGGAAACGCAGCCGGAAACGCAGCGGATAGATAGCGAGTGCCCGGAGGCATTGATACAGTTACCGATACGGAGTTTGGCGATCGACCTGCCGGCACAATGGCGGCCGAAGTTTATCGTTCTCGGCATTGTGAAAGCTCAAGGGCCAATTCCGGGCAAACGAAATGGCCCTCTTTAACGAAATAATCATGCCCGAAGCAACGCGCAGCGCCATGTAGAGGAAACTCGGGATAGAACGACGAAAAATATTTAATAATCCATGAGAATATCTTTTTTTATCCAAGAAAATTGGGGCGCTCCACGATTTTCTCGCTTGTTTCTTTTTTCCCGGGAGGAAGTGCCTCCTTTCCAGATTTTCCAGACGCCGCTTCTTATTTACGCCGTCGCGAGGTGTTTGCACCGTGGCGTAATTGCATTAAACCTCGGCCGCCTTTTTACGGCGCTCGCTTTATCGGGCTCGTCGGACCTGGATAAATTTAAGACCGGGCATTCGGTTTGGGTTTTAAAGGGGGGATGCTTTATCATACTTACTCGCGACACGGGTTTATATTATTGGATTAACATAAACGTCGTAAAGGCGAGCTTAGGGGAGCGTTGAGCGGATCAAGGAGCACGCTTTATCGGTCCGGGGATAGAGTGAAAAACCAATAACCGCTCTTCGGTATCAGTGAAAGGGCTTCAACTCGGAGACAGAAGATAAGGAATCGTCGATTCCGCGACGTCGACACGCGGAGAATCCGGCCCGAATTTAGAAGAAAACCGAGTCTCCTCAATTTGAAGGTCCCAGGAAAATCCTTCCCCTCCATGGTCCTCGTTTTCTGGATTGAACTCGGGAAAAAGGTCGACCTCTTTCCCTGCCACCCTCGAGATCGTCTCCCGGATTCGGGAAGGTCGGGTCTTCCGGGGTCGGGGCTTTGTCCTAACCATGAACAAGGACCCCTTTCAGCCGTGAGATTCACGGAGAATAAATCGACCACCTCAATTTTTTAGGGCCGGCTAAGCATGCTATCGAAATAAAATCAATAAAGAGGGTGGGGAGACCGCTAATAAGATGTATGGAAAGGGGTGACCAAAAGGCGTCTCATACTCTTTGCGTTTACTGTACGGGGTACACTGGCGGTCATGGCTATGATCTGTTCCACCTCTGGCGATTTCTAACAGGATCATAGGACAACCGAGGAGGTGCCACCGAGTTCCGTGCCTTAGATCTACGAGTGATTTTCAAGGATCAGGAATAGGCGATTAGAGGGTTTGCTAGACACACTCGTTGTTATCGTTTAATAAGTTGTTTTATTACATTAATTACTTTACAGTTTATTATACATCAAGTACCGCAAGTACATAAGTTCTCGAGCTCGTTTTTCACGAGTCATGTCCGCCAGTCATGACCGCCGGTGTACATGACTCCTGTCTGCATCCTCGAGGGGCATTGTATCACGACGGAGACGATTATTCGAGCGACACGCGAGAATTGACCAAGAAAGTAGTTACGTCTGATTATTAGGAACTAGTTTATGTATATCGCTGCACCTTGGTTGGGCTCGGTTGGGAACAAGAGGTGCTTTTTGTCGAGGCTTGTATCTCGAGATTTGTAGAAATTTTCTTGCATGGCCTCCAGGAACTCGGCGACCTCGCTCTTCCGCACAATGGCCACGACGCAGCCTCCCCACCTGAAATTGATCATCGTTCCAGTTTCATCTCTTCTGACACGGATCGTGGAAAAATTAATTGATTATGGAAATATAGGGGAGGTCCTCACCCTGCCCCCGTCAATCTCGCGCCGAGTGCTCCGCATTGCAGCGCCGCCTCGACGAGTGCATCGACGCTGGGGTTGCTGCACTCGTAAAGCTGGTGCAGGCTGGCATGACTCTTCGACATGAGGCTGCCCAATTGGCACAGCTTGTCCTGCTCGTTCATCGTCGCGTCCTCGTTCACTCTTCGGAACGCCTGGACCCGGTTGGCTTCTGGAAAAATGGGAAAAAAGGGACTTATGGCCGCCGAAAAGAAATCATAAAATAAACATCTCTCGCCGTAGACAAAATTAGAAAAATATATACGTATAATAGACGAGGAGGGGACTACGATTTATTAGTCAATCTTTAGGTCGTTTCTTGTTCTTCCTTTTTCTTTTTTAATTTAGAGCGCGGTAAATGCAGTCGACTCGGTCTCTCAGGAGCGAGGGCGAGGTGTCTTCGCGAACTGTTGATTCACTTTCTGCGAGGAAAATTCCTCGCTTTTCCTGGACTTTATTCAACCGCGATATCTCTCGACGGAGTCGTTTTCGCTAGGGGGACGTATTTAACGAGCCGATTTCAGATACTCCAGAGGCACACGTTCTCTCTCTCTCTCCGTCCAATAATTCTGCCTCCATGGCAGCAACTCTCCTGGTGCGTTTCGGGGTCGAGAGGGGTTCGGCAATCGATGGAGGCGGCTGTCGTTCAAATTTATCGCTCGGCAAAAAGAATGCACGGCCTTGATTGATAAGGGACAGCGGGACCTGCCGAAGAGGCCTTCTCTCTCCTCTTGGAGGGGAATTTCCTGGCCGGAAAAGTCCTTTCGACTCCATCCTCCCGGGAGGAGAGTCCTTTCCCGCCAATTTCTCCGCAGCGTTTCGGAGCACCGAAAACGACCTTGTGGCGTTCTACCTCCCCATTACCTTTTATCGCAGCCGAAACTGCGTCCGATAACTCAAAGACAAACGTGCGCCCCCCCCCGTATTTCCCCTCGGAGGACATTTGCATTGTTAAAAGTGGCCGCGTTTTGCGCTGTATTCCGGGAATGCTTACTCCTCCCTCCCGGCTTTTGCTTCTCCATTTTTGTTTCTCTTTCGTCGGTTTTTCTTCTTTCTTCCTCTTTTCGCGTGCGCTCTCTCTCTCTCTCTCTCTCTCTCTCTCTCCCGGGGTATCTGCCCTCCGCCTGGAAAAACGATTTCCTTTTTGCTGACATTACGGCCCCGGTTTCCGGGGTCCTCGAGTCGCCTTTCCCGGGAAAGCCGATCTTCCCTGTCTTGTCGGTAATACTTGTATTCCACTTGCGAAACGATTTCACGGACGCAAGATGTAAGACGGATGCTGCGAGTCGTCCAGGCAAAAAATTGTTGTCCGGTATAATTTTCCAGCGACCGAGAGCATGCTAAATATCGAGACTGAATGCAAGTAGGACCTATATACAAGGATACGCTTTTGAAAATGTTTTTGAATTTCAGTTCAAGTATTCACAGGGGCGTTAATATTTATTTCAGACGATACGATATTTAGTATTCGTCTGAAAATGTGTAAACTAATTTTGAATTTTATATTTTTTCCCTTTTAGAGCAGAACTTCTGATATATGAATTGTGAAATTTAAAAAATTTGAATAAGGGAATTGGCGAAGCTGCAGAATTTCGGGATTTACCCTGGAAAATGGAGATTTTCTCATAAGTCATGGGGTTGGAAGGTTTCACGATATTTATGTATCCTTCCTGCATCTCCATTTGCGATTCGATACGGAAGGCGGATCGAGTCTCGGAGGGAAATCAGGCCCCGAGGATCGGATATCTCGACCGATTAGTCCCGGGAACTTGCGGAGAACTTGCAAAGACCGAAGGGAGAAGAAGTTGCGAGGAACGCCGAGGCTGGGAATTAATTAAGTAGGATAGACGACCTTATTTAAAGTTTCGCACTAGCTCGGGCAGAGATTTCCCGATGCAGCAGACGAGGACCCTTGCAAGTGCACCGTAAACTCGGAGCCAGTGTTCGGATCTGTTGGGAGTCGTTCGGCGCTTCTTTCGGCGTCCCTGAGTGAATTATCGCCCGAGCTCGCGAAAATGGAGTTATTTATCGGAGTTACCGCGAAATAACATTAACGTTTACGGTAGGGAGCGAGAGACCAAATCCATCTTCCCTTCTTCGTAACAAACTGGAAAATAATTTCATCCCAGGTCGCATTAAAACCATCCGAAGTAACATCGGATCTCAAAGGAAAGATTCAAAGATTTTTTCAAATTGGCTCCTCGCTCTAAGGGTTAATGGGGGGTCATTTAATAACTCCTCGGCGGGGAGAGAATTGCAATTAAATCTGGCTGTCGACTTTCGGGATTACCTTGGAAAACGTGAATTGCACGCTGGCGAAGCTTGAAGGTCTGAGAGTCCTCGAAGGGGGATAGGTGCGAGACCCTTTGAAGTTGCTCCTGCGACGTCCCGAGGATGTCGCATATCTGCAAGGAGGAAGAATTCGCGAGGAGTTTTGGCACGCCGCGATGGGCTTCGTTATTTTTTATGACGCGTCTACTTCGTCGAGGAAACGTGGGAGAATGGGACTGCAATTTTCAATTCGATGGAGCCATCGAGAATTTTCGCGAATTTTCGCGAAAACGAGCCTCGCTCTCGATGACTGTCAGAGGGAGAGAGAGATATTTACGGAAAAGCTGGCCACGCGCGGTCCCGCGCGGCCCCGCGGTGAATTAACGCGAAATTATCGCGAAATCCGCGAAATTGAACGAACTCCCCCCACCCCACCTCGGGAAATCGAACCGATGGCTCGCGGAAAAGTAAATTATCCGGAAATCGAGTCGATCGGTTTAATCGAGAGCCCTTTCCGACACACGCCAGGATTTTCCTTTTACATTTTACGTTCCTGTTTCTATCGTTATTTTTTATCTTTTCCATGACAGACAGAGTCTCGATCATTTCGGGCATTTTTCATTCCAGAGTAACGCGAGTTTGTCGAGCATTTTCCGAGCCAAGAGCACTCGGTTAATGATTCACAAGTGAAAAACTACGGTACCGCGTGCTGCGCGGATTAGCCTGGGTAACTCGATTCGGTGGAACGGAAAGTATCGAGGATTTCATTTCGTAACACACGATGCGTTTGGGGGCACGCGATTTTTCGAGGTTATTTCCCTTCCGTTACGTATTTTCATCAGAGCGCACTGAAATGAACGAACACGAGGAGAAACGGTTGTCTAATTATTTCTACGACGGGATTTAACGAGAAAGGTCGAAGGAGGAGTTCCACATCGGAAGGATCGTCGGGTTGCAGGGGGTCCGGAATATTTTTGCACGTCGATGGATGCTCCCGGCAGGAAATAGGCGAGTAACGTCGTTTAACGACCTTCCGCTCGGCAGGGCGACGGAGAAAGTGTGAAATTCAGGTTACCCCGGTATTACCTCCGACAGGGTGTAAGGGGTCTCTGGCAAATCTTCCATCGCGATGGCGGCCATCTCCTCGAGGGTCTTGTCAAGTAACTTTTGGACGTCGATTAGCTTCTGGACCGCTTTCCAATCCTGGTTCCTGCTCTTCGCGATGATCTGTGAAGGGCCGAAATATTGAACCTCCATCTCTGCCACGAGGTCTCCATAATAGAGACGAACCCCTTCCCCGGAAAAACCGCGGTTTTCTCGCTCATCGGTGCGAGATAGGGAAAAATGTCTCCCACGAAAGTGATTCGTCGCGGTGCAAGCGAGAACTTTGGTCAGGAGGAGTTTCTCCCATCTCGGGCCGTCGGTGCAGAAAATTGCGGTTTTTCTCAAAGGGGCGAGAAACGCGGCCGCCACTTGCGCGCCTGGGAGGGAGACGCCGGGAAAAGCGACGCGGGGAGGATTATAGGGAAATGAAATAAGCAGGCATTGGAAAGGCGAATCACGGGGGCTCGCTGGACAGAAAAGCACGGATTGTGTGTTTGCGCGAGGTTCTTTTTCGTCCCTCTTTCCTCCTTCCCTTCGCTGCCGCCCCTGCGATTGAATTTATTTCCTTTCAATCGGGCCTCCACGAATTGGCGTAATCGTACGTATCGACCGGCAAATTTCGAGGCGACCCTGTCGCGATGATTTCCCTGAATTTGCGGGTTTTGGCAACACTCCCTCCCCATGACAGGAGGGGAGAAAAAGGCCCTGGCCATCGGCCCCTTCCCCGTGGCCTGTTTCCCCTTATCGACCAGCAGTGGGTGCTTTTGATTCGATTCCGCTAATTTCCCAAGAGCTCGCGCCGGACACCGAAGGGGCCGGCGGAGGACCTTTCGCCGGTTGTCGCGAATAATTAGTTGAAACGCAATAAAGTTGGCGCCGCCACCTGCCCGCCGCGGCGTTTCATTAGATTAGCCGCGCCCGGGAGAGCCGCCCCTTGATGAGGCCTGTTTATCGCAATTTTAGGATGTCCCAGTACCGAGGTAGTAATTAACGCGAAGCGACCGCGTCATCTGGGTCACCTTGTAAATTCGCGATATTCAGAGGTCCACGAGGCGGTAGGTTGCCCCAAGCTCTGTCTACAGTTTTTACAAAGTTATATGCACGCATTTTGGGACGCTTGGTAAAATCCCTAGACATGCATGAATAACCCAGTACCTGATCTAATCGATGTAAGAATCTACGAATTTAATGAATGGGAAAGCGGGTGATCGTCATCTCGTGCGGTCCCTGGACATTTGTGAAATTATGATGTACAGTATATTATAAATGAAACGATATGAGTTAGTTTACCTGGGCGGCCATCCTACACTCGGCGACGCGGAGGTTATAGTCCTTGGTGGAGGCCTTGTTGTGATAGGTGAGGCTGTGGGCGATCACGAAGACCGCATCTTCGGGCAAAGTGACGTCGGTGGCGTGCAGAGGGTTGAAGTCTATCAGTTTGGCCGTGCCTGGGGGCGAATGCGAGGGGAGATCGAGAAATCATTGGGAAGTCGAAGAGCGCCATAAATTCAGGGGCCCCCCGCAAGTTCGTCGGCTTTGGAGCCGCTTTGACGAAATACCGGTGAAATTATCCCGCAGTTCGCGGGGGTCGGGTCGACTTCGGAGTGATTTCGCTGAAAGGCCGATGGCAATTAACGGTCTATTTCGCGAGTCTCTGGCGGGATGGCCTCCGTAACGAGGGGGTGGAGGGCGACCGAGAAAGAGTCCGGCACGGGGCAATTAGAACTTTTGTCGCGTTGAGTCGTGTGACGGCTTCTCGTTCCTGCCCTTAAAAACCACTTCCACTCGTCGGGACTTTCATCGGCGCGATTGGCTAATTATCGGGCGAGCTCCTTTCCACTCGCTCCAGGTGCCAGGATCTTACCGGCTTTGCCAAGGAACGCGATCGCCTGGTCCATTCCGCCACCCTGGGTGCCGATATACCTTTCGGCCTCGGCGCACAGAGTCGCGATCTCCTCCTTCGGTAGTCGTCGCTGAGGGAATAAATTAAATAATATTTAGTATCGGCGAAAAAAAGAAAAAATTAGTAACGCAAATCAAGGTTCGGTATCGGTGGAAAAAATATCGAACGCTATTTTTGAAGCGACGCGATTTCTGCGCTGCGGGAATAAATTAAGATATTTAGTGTCGATGAAAAAAAAAAAAAAAATGTGTAACACAGGTAATCGATGAAAATAATGATTGACGCGGTGAACCCGCGGTTCCTTTCATAGAATTTGGCGAAGGTTTTACAACCGTGTGCGGTGTTTAGAGCAGATTTTCTCACCTGGCCGGCATGGATGGTCGCCAGGGCGGCCGCGGAAACCAAAGCCGAGGAGCTCGAAAGTCCGGACTTTGGGGGGATGTTCCCCCAGACCGCGGCCAACATGCCCCCCGGGGGGGCATCCACCCCCAGGGCGGCCTCGACGGCCCCCCTGACACCGCAGAGGAAGTATTTGTGCCACCCTGGGCCCGTGCTCTTGTTCTCGATGCAGGCTCTGAAAGCAGAAGCGCCTCATGGAATTCCTGGGGTATATATCGGGGGTGAAAGTCGGGGTCGGACTCTCCACCGGGACTCCAGCAATTCCGCAGTGCGCCCGGAATTGTTTGGAATACGGCGGAATTCCTCACTTAGAGGGACGCATCGGAACGCAGGGCTGGAGATGCCGACCTCGAGGGATCCTGGATTACCCTTTGGGAGTTACTTGACCAATTGTCACACTTCGGGGAACTCGGCAAAGGGCTCGAGATGCGGCCTTTGGTGGAGGTTTGATTAAGGCCGGGCTCGATCGACCGAGGGCTTAACTCGCGGTTTCAATTGGTTCTTATCGGGGATTTCGAGTTCCTACCCTAGGTTCTCCAGATCGCAGTGGAAGTCCTCGTATCGGGGGTCCAGGTTGGTCAGCCGCAGTTGGTCGTCGTCCGAGGAGGCCACCGCCAGGAGGATGTCCTGCTCGATGGCCATCGGGCACACCGAGTAGCCGCAGTAGTCGACGTGCTCCCCTATGAGGTTGACCCTGGAATAAATAGACTCCATTGTGGTCTAGAGACATCACTTCGGTCTTGCCGTGAATCACGGATTAAAAATCGCGAACGCCGCGATCGGATGCTGGAACGTCTGCTCGTTTGTCTCCCTCCAGGGAGACCGGTGCTGTGTGCTCTCTCTTGGCCTCGAAGACGCGACCGCGAAGCGGCATCGGTTTTGGCCCGGTCTTCCGAATATTCCATGCACTCCGTGCAACTCACCTGCCTGGCACCCTGACGAAGAAGGTCGGCTCCTTGTCGAACTTCGACCTGAAGCGATCAACCAAGGGGTTCAGTCTGGACCGGAGAGATGCGTTTGCACACAGAATCGGCACCTGGCAGTCATCGCCGCTTCCGTTCTCCTTTTTCGACATCGCTGGAAGCAGAAGGACGCACGCGAACGCTTAGACTGCCTTAATCACTGTAATCACTTTCATTTGACGTTCGATGCGCCTTGGAATGCGAGCCGGCGTGAATCCCGGGAACCGGTTCGACTTTCTCGGTGCCGATCGAATTTGGGACGGGACTAAATGGTAGGATCATTTTGGAAAGCCTCGATAGCGGAGAATCTGGACTCTATTAAATGAGAACAATTACGATCTCGAAGCCTTTCGTAAAACTGATTTATTCAGCGATGTTGCGTATCATCTTGGCGAGTTTCTGGGCCAGTCTCGGCCTTATCGTCCGCACACCAGGCAGCGAAGTCTTTACCGTGGTTATATCGCAGGTATTTTAGTTCGCGACGTGACAAGCGAAGCCGTGGGGTATCACCTTTCGGTAACTGGTGACCATCGGTGGGGCTGTTACCGGTGGTCGGTATTCGTTCCGGAATTCGAGGGAAATCGATGCACCTCGGTGCATACCTTATCAGCGGTACCTCGCGGTATCTTCGCGAGCAATTTGACTGGCCGTCGCGCAAATCCTACGTTCAGGTTTTGTTAGCACCGAACAGGTGGGGCCCCGCGCGAACCCGAGGGGTCAGCTGAGTGCAGTCTCCTGTCCACTTGATTGCCAGCAGCCCAGCATCGGCAATTGCTCGAGTCATAATTTAGCGATTCCGGTTTGTACTTAACAACGGGCGGTTTTCGTGATGCAGGTGTGCGGCGATAATATCACTCCATGACGCATTTCTCAGTTAATTTAGCTATTTCTTCTTATCTCGTCCATCATTCTTGAAATCTCACATACGTATCCGTACCTCGTCTCACCGTTGAAAAACGATTTTTATCTATTACATTTAAATTGTGAAAGAACGCCTAGCGTTAGACATCAGATACGAGCGTGATCGAACCCACGCAATTCTTTAGTTTTTAAAAGTCCGGGAATTCTTCTTTTAATTTTTTCAAACTTATTCCGAGTCTTAAATGCACATCGCGAAATGCGTGGTTATAAGAGATAGGGAGATGCGGCTCGAGAGTTATCAACGTACGCACCTTAAATTCGGAAATTCGGGTTGGCAGCTCGGGATTTCGGTGCGGAAGGGATGCCGAAAGCGGAATAGGTTGGCTTACCTCGTTCCCGTGACTGCATACGTGGTATCGCAGCGGCGGACTGCAGGGGCGAGCGAGAGTTATCGCGGAAGATTGCGCTTATCGCTCGATAATTTTCGTCCCGTTGCGAGCGTCCTCCACAGGTTGCGTCACTTTTATGGATTCATACCATGGACCCAGGAATGTATGGACGGAGCCCAGTCTCATCTTAGACTAGGGGGGAAGCCGGGGCGGCGGAAAGGAGGGATAGGACGGCCATATTGGTGTGCTAATTTTCCAGTTTAAAAGCTAAGATTTGGCACACCAACGTGGCTGTCTTTCATTGTTCCTACGTGTTCCCCCTTGGCTCCGTCTATATCATTAATTTCCGTGGCTTATAAAAATTGTATATAAAGTATAACTCAACTCTCGAGCACCCACGTTGTAGTTTTGCCTGTATTTGCCTGTATGTAATAACATTTGTGAATAAAATAACTAAGGTATGTGAAGGGTAAAGTCAAAGAGGGCGTCCCGAGTGTTTTTCCCTTACCATCAAAAGCGAGCAGGGTCGTTAAGCGTAGGTAAGCTACCACCGTCAACGAGGGCCGACGTGTGGTTGGTAAAGCAGCGCGCGCATGGTCGGTAACGTCGAACGAGAAAGTGGAACTTTTCTATGCCCCCTACAGTCTACTTTATTGACGGTTTCGATCGCGGTCGGTATAGAAGACATTTGCCGATGAGTAATCCCAGACGTTGGTAAAGCTGAAACGGTAGATGCTTGCATTACCGATCACCAATTAATTTCCGTGCTTCCCAGGGTATTTTTGATAAAGTGGAAGTGGATCCTTTGCGCGATCCCCACCAGATGGCACTTTCGGGTTTGGAAGTTCCAGAATCCCTTTGATTCTCCGATTTCCTTGCATGTCTCCGGTAGGGGGTTGTCAGGGAGGGTTGATCGCCGATAAAAGTGACTGCACGTTAACGAAACGTCATTTCCTGGGTGAGATTTAATCCAGAGCGGATTGGGAGGTAAGTTGGACGCGAATAATTCTTCACGGAGTTTGGGAGAGGAAATTAGAGGGCTTTGTTGGAGGAGGGTGAGCTCAATTTTCGCAAATCGCGGACCGTCGTTACGGTTTCCACCCTCTGGCACTTTTCCTGCGGCATCATAAGGCAGACGTTAGTTTAATTCGAATTACTTTGGCCATAAATCCGGCGGATTCTCGGGAGGGGCGTATAACGCGCCATATAAACGCGAAGGATACGGTTTTAGCCGGGGCGCGGAAGACGGGGTGAGGGCCGCCATGAGCCCGGGCTCCGATTCGAGACAGTTTTTGCTGAAACATCGCGCCATTGATCCGGCATTTTCCAAGCCGCTTGGTTTATCGCTCGGCCCTGATCCCTCTGTTCGTACCGCGGTGTTACAAGCCCCTGGCAATCGATGTTTTCGTCCCGTCTTCCCTCCGGGTTATCCGAGGTTCGCCTTTTCCGGCGTCCACGAGGACGACTGGACCTCCCGCGGAAACACCCTGGATCGAATAGAAATTTATTAATTGTACCCTCCATTAATCTTTTACCTTTAATCGTAAATATCGCAATATAAGGTGAGAAGGCCAAGGAAATTCCAGAAAATTTGACACGGCGTCCTAAATTCGATAACTCGATTTGCGGGATTTAAGCCTACACACGTAACGACGAATCCTTGCGATAAATCCGTGCCAATCGACGTAACCGATGCGTGGAAGATAATTCTCCCTCTGGATAATTGCAAAGGACGCGTACCGCGTACCGCGTCGTTTACAAGGGACTTGGACGCGGTTTCACAGGAGAGCCGGATATCGGCCATTAAGGCACCGTCTCTTCCACTAACTCGGCCGTAGATGGCCTTCGCGGGGGGTCAGACCACGCGTGACGGGCTCCATCGAGGTCCATTTTCTGGAGCGATTTATTTGCACCCACCCCGGGCAATATTTCATAGGGAAGGGAGGAGACGGAGAAGCGTATATGCCCTCGCGGGGGGCGCGAGCGAGACCGAGAGCGGAAGCGGTCGGAGTGGACGCGCTCCTGGAAGGCCCGGAAGTTGAAAGAGGGTATAAATTGAATCGGGGTCCGCCGCATCCGACGCGCATAAAGCGCCTCGCACGCCCTTTAAATTGCCGGCCCGCGTCCCGGAGACAACCATTACGGGACGGAAAATGCCAATAACTTAGGCGGAGACAGAGGTTACTTCGGAGCCGCGACGGAGGCGCGAACTCGCTCGGCGGTCTAAGGGGTGTTTTTCCCGTCGTACGAGTCACCGTCAGCGATTTCGAGGAATTCCTTCTCTTTCTTATATATTTTTCCTCTTAAACTTAGGGACGTATATTTTCTTTGATCCCGTCGCAGGGGTTGGCACCGATTTTCTAATTCCCCTGCACGCTCGCCCGTAATCAGTCAACTGGATCCACGGAATCCTCAATATTTCTCCCTATGAATAATATTTCTCCTGTCTCGTCATATCTTATCGTCATAATCATCGACTCTAGACGTCGCGTCTCGAGTTTCGAAGAGGCGATTCCGGGGGTGTAGCCGATCGACGGGGTTAAAAGCGGAGGGGGGGCATTAATTTGCTCCCCTTTTAGACCGCGACACGGGGGATATGCGGTATCAAGCGCGGTAAATCAATTTACCGCCCGCCGTTGCCTTCCTCTCTTCGGGCGGCCTTAGCTCGGGGGCGCAGGGGGTGGTTTTTGTGCCGCAAAAGTTGCGTTACCAGGCTACCAGCGTGTACGTCGTACGTACGTAGGTAACGCACGCGTATGCACGGAAGAGGAAGAGGAGGGGGGAAGCGCACGCTACCCGGGATTACTCGGGTTCTCTATTTTGCCCCCGCTCCCCCCTCCCCCCGCGCCTCACGCGCGATAAATCCCTCTTGCCATTACTGTTATTATTAGGAGTACCGGCGTGATAAGCGTTCGGTTTTACATATAATCGTGAGCCCCGTTTAAGCGGGGCGACCCTAAAAATCCGCTCGACACGCCATTGGGAAATATTTCACCGAGCCGCGACTTCCGGCCGGCTGGGTTCCCGGGGGGGTTGGAGGAATCCGAGGGGCCCGGGCCCCTCTCGATCCAGCCCTCGGGACGTCTCGGCATTTCTGGAATTCCGGGCCCGCGGCGGCCCCCGCACCCCCTCCACCCCCACGGGCGGTAGTATGTAAAATATCGCGACATGCGAACTTCGACGCGGTACAAGTCCGGCCCCTACACGTACGGCCGCTTAACATGCCACGTATTTGTCATTAGGAGTTGTTTACAACCGCAAAAAGTCAACCGCCCCCGCGCGGTCCGAAAACGGAAGGAAGATGGCCGCCGCGATTTTCCTAAGCTTTGGAAAACTTGACGCGAGCCACGTAGTACAACAAAAGAATAGTATCGAAACATTCGTCGAGGGAGAATTTCTGGTATCTTCTCTTCTCGCCGAGGTTAGCGAGGAGGGGCGGCGGCACTCCTGGGGGAAGTAAACCAGGTCGGGACACGCTGTCCGGTCGGATCGGACACAAATATTCTCGGCTTAGTGGGGACTCGGGCACGCGGTCTAGATTAGGCCTTGGGTCGGGTATATGCGCGGTTTTAGGAGCGGCGATGCATCAACGTCATAATGAGCCCCATAAATCCCAGGGGCCCGGGTGCACCCTCGCGCTGACCCCGACGGCTGCCTCCGAGAGGTCCTCCCGTTGTACCGAAGTTATTTAAACATTTCCCTTAATTTATCACGTACCTAGATGTCCGTTCACGTTGGAAACTTCGTGCCAGACGTTGGAGGGAAGTCGCGGCGGAGAAGATCTTCGAGATGTACATATGGATATACGTAATCCGCGTATATATCGCGGGTATATACCCGAGGAAGAGGCAGAACTGCAAGGTTGGCGCGCCGGCCGTAAAGTCCCCGGCGAGTTCCCGGGCAGGCGGAGATCGGCAGTTTGTTCCTCCCGGGTGTACCGCGCCGGTTGTAAGGGCGGAGCTATCGATCTCCCGGGGAGAAGTCTGCGGAAACGTATCCGACCGCGCGCCGCCTGTTTCTTTAATCGCGGCGAAGATAGCGGGACACTTAAGTGCGCCCCCCCCTATGTGGCCCTCTTTCACCCCGTACATGCTTCCATATACATGTGCGCGTAGGTGCGGCGAGGTTGCGGGTACGCGGAGTTATCGCGCGGCTGACAGGGTCGTAACGCGCGTGGCCCGGGAATGCAGGTTACCGGTCGAGAGGCGGCAATGCTCCCCGCGGCCGGGGGTTATGGCCACTAAGGCCTGTTTACACTGTCGTTGTCCACGACCGTATATTCTCGCAGCGATCTGCGGCCTGCCGAGAGCCCGATTGTAAGATAGCCGGGCGATGATGCCCCGTAAAACCGGGACCGCGAATCGAGAGGCTGCCGGCACGCATCATTCCTGGGATCGCCTCTCCGGAGAGAGACGAACTTATCCCGGTGAAAATTTAAACCAGCCCGTCGGTAGAGAGTAATTCATATCAAGAAATTCACTAATCCCAGGGCAATTGGAGAATGCCGATCCTTGGAACAGGGCAAATTGACCGGGTTATTTTTTTTCCACCCCCTCGTTCCTCTCTTTTTTCGTAATTCCGGCGCGCGCGGGGTCGCGCGGGAAATTGCTGGCGGGGGGAGAGAGGGCGCGTATAAAGCGAATATTATTTCTGTCCCGGGAGTTTTAAACCTTTTTAGTATGCAAACAGACGGTTCTCGGGGCGGTATAATGCCGGAATGGCTCGGGCACCGGAGGCCAGCGGGGGACATATCTACTCGGAGGTCGTATTTTTATGGGTGTCTAGCGAAGCCGCGGGTGTTAGCGGACACGTCGCCGGGGCGAGCGGGGCTCGTCGGACCGACTTTAACGTCCCTATAACATAACGCACACCCCCTCGAGCCGTGCACGCACACGCGTGGGCGCGCTTATCTATCCGCGTAATAGGCGCGCGCGCGCACCGAGCACACGGGCCTCTCTCGATACGCTCGGCACGTTTTTTACGGCTACATCGATACGATATGTCGCCTCCTCTGGAGTATCTCCACGGCCACTATGCGCGACATACGGCAAGCCCTAGGGCGCTTGCACCGGAAGTGTTCAACTTCGCAGGCATCCCCATCCACTGTTTATTAATTTTTCCATTGCCTCAAGAAACGGGCCATCGTA